ACCTTGCCTTTTGTATATGGTTGTATCTGTTTGCTATTGAAATCTCAGCATCTTCCTTACCCACTTTGAAGGACAACTGTTCTCTATCTGTTACTTCCCCAGAGCTGCTAGAGATGTTTGAGCACCATCTTGAAGCTTATGTGCATTTAATATTTATAAACTAACAAGTGCAATTTCCTTCATATGTTAATAATAGAGATTGATATTGAATTACAGTAGTTTAAAGGGCAAATGTAATTTTATTATATATATTTTAGAAATTTGAGTGACCTTAAAAAGAGTGACATTAAATTTTAATTTAAAAAAACCAAAAGTTAGGCTGGGAGCAGTGGCTCGAGCCTATAATCCTGGCTACTTGGGAAGTGCAGATCACAGTTCAAGGCCAGCCTGGGGAAAAATGTTTGTGAGACCCTATCTCAACCAATGGTTGGGCAAGGTGGTATGTGCACCAGTCATCCCAACCACACAGGAAACATAAACAGGAGGATCAACAGTCCAGGCAGAAAGCAAAACCCTATCTAAAAAAATAACCAATGCAAAGAGGGTAGTGTAGGTAAGCAGTAAAGTGCCTACCTAGCAAGCATGAGGCCCTGATTTTAACCCTCAGTACCACCAAAGGGGAAAAAAAATCCTAGTAAAAAGACTGAAACCCTATTCCTGGCCTGTAGCTAATTAGCTTTGTGACCTCAGTCAGGCTATAATTTCTCTGAACCAGTGTTGGCTCATACATAAAATTAGAGACTTTGTGACTTTCATACCTTTCTAAAAATTTTATTTCCAAGAACAACTTTTTAAATTTTTTGTATGAAATTGTGTTCTATAAAATAGACAGGGGGTAAGAGGGAGAATAATGGAGGGAACGAACAAAACCAGGGTATAATATATGTATACATGGAAATGTCACAACAAAATCCCCTGTATAACGATCACAAACTAATAAAAACTTTTTAAAATATAATAGAAGTAGAATGATCTGGCTAAAGGAGGGGTGGGAGCTCTGAAGGTATGATTTCCTTATCCCTTTGTTAACAAATCAGCTGGCTGGCAGGTTTTCCTCTTCCTAAACAGAAATTATGGATAGGCAAGGAGATATCCTCCAGTTATTCTGGGCTCTTGTGATTATTCGCAGGTGGTGGAGTACATTACAGTAGGCGGTAACAGTCAGCCCTAGACCTTTACAGCTAAAGCAGCAGCACATTCCTCAGGGTTCAGCCCAAAGCCCTTGACAGCTAGGACCTGTCAGGAGGTTCAGGCCCCTGAAAGCTAAGAGCACAAAGGATTAAAGTTCCTATGTGGCTGCCAACCACTTTCAACCAGCTGCCATCAGTTTTACTTTCTCTGTTGCCCACAGCCTCCAGCCACTATCTGCCCCTGTTGCTCCAGGTCACTCAGCTTGCCCACCTTACCACTACCTGCTGCCAGGGCAAGCTTCCTCCCTGTCATCTCTGCTTCTTCTCATCTGTTTCTTAGTGTTAGCAGTTCAGCAAGGTGGGCAAGATTATTGAAGAAAGTCTTTATTGGGACCTGATGTTATAACATCAGGAGAGCAGCAAAGAGGGTACCTCCCAGGTGCTCACAAAGTTGGTCTGCAGTAATCACAACAGTCCACTCATACATGCACCAGTCACAGGTCTTTGTTGGGTCAGCATACCTTTCCACCCACCACCCCCCCAGCTCTGGAAGTGACAGTTGGTCTTCCATTGAGTCAAAGTCCAGTCACTGCAACTCCCCTTCCCTGCCATAACCCCTCCATTCCAACCCCCCTATTTCCCGAGTACAAGCTGCTTGCTGTGGCAGTGCCTTCTAAAGCTGGAGTCTGCATGAGGGCAGGTGACTACCTGATTGGCAGTCCTTTGCTCAAAGCAGTCTGAGCCTCAGAGAAGGAATTAACAGCTATCAGTTAGGAAGTTAAATCTTCTCAAACCCCAACATCTCAGAGCGTGTAAAGGGAAGAAATGAACTTTCAAAAAGATGCTTATAATAAAGACTTACCAGTAATAGTACTTTAACAACACTTAACCATACTCTGACAATGCTTAACTTCTGTCCCAGTGTCCTAGGAAGAGGTGGGTCCCACCATCTATTTCACCTTCACCTTACATTATCCTCTGTGGCACCTTAGATTTCTGTGGACATAGTTTGAAAACTATCAGTTGTGAGAGAATTTGCCTAATAAGCTAAATTCATGGTACCTTGTTCTATTGTATATAAATGTCTTATATTTTTAAAAAATGGAAAAGTATGAAGTTAAAAACATGCTTCTCCTTATTAAGGTTGCACTTCAAAGCCTCCATCTGAAACACAATCCTCACCTAGAAGTAAACGTAAAGTCTACAGAGAAATGAGTATTTTTATTAAAAATATTCATTTTGCTCCATAAGGAATTGATACTACAGCTTTCAGGTTAGCATTATACATAAAAGGAAGATTAACGATTTATTAAACTTTTTTTTTCCTCTGACAAAATTCAGCATGGTTTGGGGGATCTTTTGTTGCTTATTGTTTTGTTTTATTTTGTTATTTTTCTTTTTTGAGTGTTTTTTGTTCTTTTTTGAGTGTTTTTTGTTCTTTTTTGTTGTTGTTGTTTGAGACAAGGTCTTGTAGCCCAGGGTGGCCTTGAACATATGATCCTCCTGCCTCAGCTTCCAGGGTCCTGGGATTACAGGTGTGTGCCATCACAGCTGGCTTGGAACATTCAGTTTCTCCTAAGCTATTGCTTTATGCACTTCAAAAACCATTCAGTTTCTCCTAAGCTATTGCTTTATGCACTTCAAAAACCATTGATGGCACCCCTGTCGAATGGAGTAGAACAGTGGTTAATGTCACCCCATGACATTTTTTTCTCACTTCCATGATTTGTGCCAGAAATTATATTAAGCCATTCAGCTGGGGGCAACAATTCTGAATTTCCAATAAGGGAAATACAAGAAAACTGTGATTTCATAGGAAAGTAAGAATTAAATGAAAGGGACTCCTAAATAGGCATTTGGTATTTGTCAGTTTAGACTTATGAGCTAAGCTGTTTCCAACCTCCCACCAGCCAGGACAAAACTCCAGCCTTCAGTACTCAAGACCTTTAGTAAGCTTTTGGTAGCCCTTTCCAGAAGAGCCCCCTCTCTCCCAGTGTTCTGAGTCTGTCCTTTTTCCCTCTGAACTTTCATCTCTTTCTTGCACTCCACAGCTGGAATAGAGATAACTACTTCTCCCAGATGCTCTTCAAGAGCTTAGGAGAAAACAGTTACCAGTGCCAAAATTTGTTATACCACAGGTATTTTCTAGAGAGAATTAAGATTTCTTCAGTATAGAGCTGGGGATGTAGCTCCCTGGTAGAGTACATGTTTAGCATCCCCGGTGATCTGGATTCAATCACTACCAACAAAGGGAAAAGAAAGAGTAGGGGAGGAATTTCTTCAGTACAAAAAAGCAAACAGTTTTTAAGAAACATGATTCATTTTTATCTGTGTAGATTTTATGTATTATGAAAGCATTTGTGAATGAGGGCATAAAGACAATAAAACCTGGTAGAGTGGCTCAAGTGGTAGAGTGCCTACCTAGCAAGTGTGAGGCCCAGAGTTCAACCTCAGTACCGTAAAAATAAAGTAAAATCTATTACCAATAGGAAGTATTTAGAAAAAGCGCTTTGGGGAGAAAAAGGTAACAATTTGTAGTTTCCTTAGTCAAATCTTATAAAAATGTGGTTTGCATTCTTCATAGTGTTTAGTAGTAGTAATATTCTTTTTATTGTGTGGTGATGGTACTAGACATTGAATTCAGGACTCATTCTACCACAGTCATACCCCCAGCCCTTTTGCTTTTAGTTTGGTTTTCAGTAGAATCTTGCACTAACTGCCCAGGAGTCCTCCTGCCTCCACCTTCCAAGTACCTGGGATTACAGCTAGTGTGTCCCACTATGCCTGGCAGATTCTTTCAGTAAAGGTAAAGGCTCTCCCCTTCATCCAGTATTGTTACTTTTACAAAACTTTGCAATGTTTTCTCACAGAAATGTTACAGAAAACAATTTCTCAAAATATTAGAAAGCTGTCAATCACCTAAAATTTATAAAGGCATTGGACGTCACATTATCATTAACCACCACAAAATATTGTGGTCAGTAGATGATCATAGAGTCTTTGGGGCAATTAATAAGATAGTAGGTTGTAAACAAAAGATGTAAGAACACTGTAGATGGGACACTTGCAACATAGTTTGAAGTATTCTCAGACATTTTTAATTCTTTAGGTAACATGGTGAAATGTTTCAAAATGATCTTAATTTCTGAAAAGAAAATAGAATTACAGTTAAAGAGATGTGTATTGTTATCCTTGTTTCCAGTTCTATCTAGAAAGTCATTAAAGAAACTCAAAAGTTTGAAAATTGGCTTTAACCTCTATTCTTTTTTGCAAGCAAATTTTCTGAAGACTTTTTTCCATGTTGATAAAAAATGTTTGGTCATAATCCAGATAGCATAAAAATTTAATTTTTTGCCAGTAGAATTTTCACGTAATGTCATAACAACATCACTTTCTTCTGCTGAAAAGTTAATAGCCTAGAACATATGTTAAATTTTTTTATTTTGAATGGAAAGTTAATTTTAAGGAAAAATCCAGTAAAGTGAAAAAACTGAATAAACTCTTATAAAGGAGAGAGTTTTGCTAAAAAAAAAAAAAATCACAGTTATACATTCAGTATAAAATGACTTAAATTGTTTAACCTTTGTACTAATGAGGTAAAATATCACCATTCTAAATAATGTGTATGCAGTAGACCGATATTAATTGTACTTTTTATCAGATTAATATAAGCAGTATTGTACATATATATTACTTTTGAGCTAAAAATAAGTAGGAATTTTATTTTACTTATGTTACTTTTTAACATAAGTAAGTTAGATGTCATTTCTAAAAATCTTATTTAAAGGCCATATTTTGTAAGTGACATATCATTCCCATGAAAAATGTCTTTTGCTTAACATAAACATAAATAATTTTGACTCGTTTCAGATGCAGCAGGAGTTGGAAAAAAGTATAAGTAGAGAACTAAAAGAAGGTATGTTGCCAACATTTATTAATTAAATTTAGATTGATTTCTGAAATAAGCTGTAAATAGCAAATAACAAATTGTGTCCCTTTCCTTTGTTTTGGGGATTTATTTTTTTGGAAGAGTTGTATTTTGGAGTTTTTTTGGGGGGGTGGGTTTTTCCGTGGGACTGGAGTTTGAACCCACGGCTTCATGCTTGCAAAGCAGGTGTTCTACCACTTGAGCCACACCTCCAGTCTATTTTGCTCTGGTTATTTTGGAGGTAGAAATCTCAGGAACTGTTTGCCCAGGCTGGCCTTGAGCCATAATCCTCCCAGTCTCAGCTTCTCAAGTAGCTAAGATTATAGACATGAGCCACCAGCACCCAACTCTGAGGAGCTGGTTTGATTGATAGATTCTACATTAAGTATTTTCTCACAGTCATCAGATGAATGATGTAAAAATGTAATCATTTCTAATGCATAATGTACTTACTCCTCATTTTGTCATGTTCTATAGCTTTTAAAAATCTCAAAAACTGTAGTATTTCTGTTTCTGGCTCAACATTGTCTTCACTTCTTCCATACGTGTGAAACTATCAGCATATTGAAACTGTGCTTGGAAAACAACAGTATCAACAATTTCTCAGGTTCATGGCCAAGAAAGCCAGACTTATCTAGAAATACTTAGTCAAGAAGCAATTAGAGTTCACAAACTGTCAGGTGAACAGGTGCCACTTTCTCATTGATGTTGTTCACTTTCTCATTGGCTTACCTTTTTTCCCGGGGAACACTTCCAAATCCTTAGCATAGAGTAAAAATACCCAAACCAATGTGACCATTGTCAAGTTAGTCAGCCCTATCCCTTTTATTGTAATCTTCCATTTGTCTAAGCTTCTAGCAAAAATAGACTACTTACAATTCTGCAAATGCTCTTTCTCATCACTAGCTGTTTGCAGGTACTTCGTCTCTCATTCCAACTTAACTTTCTCCTTATCCTTCATGTGTCAACTTAAATTTCACCTCCACCAAAAAGCAAACAATGTTGACATAAAACTGTATGTTCATTCTGGTAGTGCCATGTTTTATACTGCCATAGTATTTATGACTGTATTAAAAAAATACCTTTTTCTGATTTGATTTGATTTGGTTTGGTTTGGTTGATGTTGAGGCAGGGTCTCACTCTTTAGCCCAGACTGGCCTCAAACTCATACTCTTCCTGTCTCAACCTCCCAGGTGCTATTCCCTATTTAGGGGTTTTTTGTTTTGTTGGTTGCTTTGGGTTTTGGGCTTTTTGTTTATTTTTGGTTTTGATTTTTGTAATGCTGAGGATGGAACCCAGTGCCTTGCACATGCTAGGCAAGTGCTCTACTACTGGATTATTCCCCCAGTCCTATTTGTCTTCAGAGGGGAAGGGGAGTTAATAGTATACAGTTCTTTGAGGAGTGAACTGTATCATATTCATACTGTCATTCCAGTGCTTCTCATAGTACCTTCACACATGGTTATTGAATAAATGAATGAAGAGTGAGAAAACCAGAAGCTTTAATATTTAACCAAAATGATAATTCAGTATGCAACTGTGACCAAATTTATTTAATCATCATTGTGTATTATAGTTAACCCATACATATTTTTAATTCTTATGAGCACAATAAAGTTCTCAAGTTTTTTTACTGACTCATGCTTAGTTAACTATAAAGTCTTTGAGATAAAGAATATAATTCTTTTGAGGCCAGACATGGTGGTACACACCTGTTATCCCAGCTACTCAAGCGGCAATGGCAGCAGGATCAAGAGTTTGAGGCCAACACAGACAAAGTTAGCAAGACCCTATCTCAAAAACAAAAGGGCTAGGGGCATGGCTCAAATTATAGAGTGCTTGCCTAGCCATGCACAAGACCTTGGGTTAAATGCCCAGCCCCACAAAATAATAAATAAATAAATAAATATATAAATATATAAAATGTATATATGTTTCTTTTTCTCTCTAGCTGCTGTTGAACTTGAATCTGGATTCTTTAGAGCTTCTCCCCCAGGATCTACCAATAAGTCAAGTAAAAATCTATTTTCGGAAGCATCACAAGGATATGTAGAGATTTTAAAGAAAAAATATGTGATCTGAAATGTAACATTTTATTTATTGGACTGTTTATACAACATTTTAATTGTTCCCTATTAAAAAAATTATGTGAAAACTTTACCGAAGGAAAATACTTTATATGACACATATGTGATGATAATTCACATACTATTTCTGACTGTTTTTTGGCATCTCTAACTGTCTTATAAGCAGATTTTGCTAATGAAAACCAGTATTGTTGAGTTTTACATACTCAAACCACCCAAGTGCCAGTTGTCTGTTAACATCATTGGGGTGAAATATCACTTATTATTTGTATTTTCCAATTTTTCTCACTATATATGGACCTAAAGATTTAGACAGATATCACCTTGGTATACTGTTATGCTAGCCTTTGCCAATGTTTTGATACATTATAATCATTATAGTGCCATCAAACAGATAATTTTAATTTTTTTATAATATTAAGTACTGATTTACAGAGAAACATTTACCTACAGCTTTTTATCTTTTCTATTTGTCCTTGATTAACTTTTTGGAAATATTCTTAAAATTAGAAATTTCAAGTTCTAGTACAAAGAACTAAGAGTCTATTGCTGGCATGCGCCATCAGCCCTGATTACTTCGGTGTATATTTGATACAGTCAGAAGATTCTGCCTCATACAGCCTTCATAATCAGAAAGGTAAAGTTAATGCATTCTATCATTTAGTCCTCAGATTCAAGTTTTGCTATTTAAAAGCAAAAGTATTCCATTCAGGCCTATGGATCCCATTTTGTTTCATTGCTTCAATTCTTTCAGTTTGGAACATATCTCAGTCTTTCCTTGACCTTCAATACTTAAATCTGGTTTTTTTGGGGGGGGGGTTGGCAGTACTGGGGTTTGAACTCAGGACTTTGTGCTCGCTAGACAGGCATTCTACCACTTGAGCCATTCTCTAGCCCTCTTTGCTCTGGGTGTTTTGGAGATAGGGTCTCACTTTCTGTCTAGTCCCACCTGTACCACAATTCTGCTATTTTAAACGTCCTTCTATAGCTCAGATGACAGGCATATGTGCACCACACCTCTCAAACTTTTTTTACCAGAGCTACCTCAAGTCACCATCCTCCTGATCCCAACCTCCTGCATAGCTAGGGGTGACAGGCATGCACCACTGTGCTCAGATACTGGTTCAGATGGCTTCTCACAAACTCCCTGGCAGGGCTGACCTAGAGCCAAGATCCTCCCAATCTCAGCCTCCTAAGTAACTAAGGTTACAGGCCTGAGCCACCAATGCCCCACAATACTTAAATCTTTTTAAGGTAGATTTTATGTCGAATGTCCTTCAGTTGGATTTTTCTGATGTTTCATTATGATTAGACTTAATCATGCATTTTTTTTTGGAATGAGTATCGCGGAAGTGATTCTGTGATTTTTCTCATGCAACCTGTAATTTTTATTTTTCCCATTACTGATGATTGTAACATTGAGCAGTAATGGTGTTATCTGCTGGATTTCTTCTCTGTAATGCTCTTCCACTTTGTATTTATTTAGTGTTTTGTTGGAAGTTGATAAATACATTTGTTTCTCATCAAACTTCCAATTTATTCATTTACTTACAATATGGATTCATGGTTTATTTTATTCAGTGAGCTACAAGTTGTTAATACCTGGGTTTTTTTCTTTTGAAGATGTCCTATTTTGACAATTTCAGACTTACAGAAAATTTTTAAGTTATAGTACAAAGAGTTCTTGGATAGACTTCCCCAAAAATTAGCATTTGCTTTAATCCTTGTCTTCCCTCTCCTCTTTTTCTAAATAAATGTAAATATAGGTATATAATAGTTTTTTCCCCCTCTAAACTACTTGTGAGTTGCAGACATGATGCCTAAATACTTGTGTTTCCTGAAAACAAGGAATAATCTTATATAACTGTAGTATACTATCAAAATCAGGAAATCAAAACTGGTTCACTATTAATATCTAATCTACAAACCTTGTTCAGATTTTGCTGGTTATCTGAATGATGGTCCAGGCTAGGGGTATTTTTACATACAATGATTTATTGTGTCCAGTGATCCTGTTTCTTTAGTCTCCTTTAATCTGGGTTAGTTTCTGAGTCTCTTTTTTTAAATTTTCATGACATTTATGTTTTTGAATAGTATAGGCCCATTGTTTTGTAGATTTTTCTTCAGTTTGGTTTCATTTGATGTTTGCTCATGATTGGATTCAGGTTATGTCATCCAAGTGCTGCTAAGTTCTTTCCAGTGCAGCCTCTTCCTGCTGCATTGAGAGCATTATTCTCCCCGACCCTCGCCCTAACCCCAGTTTGATAAAGTAAGCAGCCATATTGAAGAAGCCCATATGGCCAAGAGCTGTGAGCAAACCCTAGGAACTATAGGAAACTTGTAGGATCCAATGATACCCTTCAGCCAAGAGTCAAAAAATAGCTGAGGACCTCAGTCACACAATAACAAGGACATATGGACAGATATGCTATCACTTCATTCCATTTCTGGCCAGTGTTGACATTGCTTATTTCATTAAGGAGTATCTGCCAGGTTTTTCCCTTTAGATTTCATAAATATCTTGTGTAGAAAAATTTGGGGACTCTGTAACTACCTGGTTACTTCTCAAATTTTCACCTGCCATATTTAGCATTACATTAAGTATTACTGCTTAAGTCAAATTATTACTATGATGATTGTCAAATAATGATTTTCTTATTCTTTCATTCCTTCTACACTGATAAATAAAGCAAAACCAACAAACAAATAAATTGAGAAGAGAAAGCTTATTAATTTGGTATTCACATACTCCAGATTTGGCGAGTTGTAGCAATTTCAAGCTGATTTCTTATCTTTTTGTCAAGTTCCTTTTATTCATTGAGCACTTTCTTTCTGAAACAAAAAGATGTCCCAAGTTCATCTTATATTTTCTCTGACCCAGCCCTGGAATCAGCCGTTTTTCCTAAGTGTCCTGATTACTTTTGTATGTGTGTGTGTGAGTGGTAGTGTTAGTTGGGTTTGAACTCACACTTGCTAGGCAGGTGTTCTGCCACTGAGCCACGCCTGTAGCCCCCTTATTATTTCCAATCCAATTCTACATGGTTCATTCTAGTTTTTCCCTCTCAGTATTCGGTTTTTGCTGTTTTGTTTTTATTATTATTTTAATTGTACATATTTATAGGGTGCAGTGATAATGCATATATATAGTGTGTAATATGCAAGTCAGTGTAGTTAACATTTCTGTCTCCTTGACCTTTTTTTAAATTTCTTTATTAACATGTGATGATTGTACATATTTAAGGGGTATGTGCTGATATTCCAATACATGTATATAAATCAAGGTAACTAATGTTTCCATTTTCTTATTACTTTGGAGCTTTCAAACTCCCCTCTTCTAGTTATACATACCTTTCATTATTTATAATTCCTTTGTTTTTTCAATTCTGGGGATCAAACCAGAATGTGCCTAGCACATGCTAGGCAAGTGCTTTACCAGTATACCTTGTAACTCCTTTTTCTGATGGTAACCTGGCTCCCTTCATCCTTAATTTTATTTGTTCAATGCCTTGTTTGTCATCTGTGTCATGGCCCTGCCTCTAAGCAAGTTCCCTTCTTAGTCCCTTGAACTCCAACACCCTTCATCAGATTGTCTCCACTCTCCCTCCAAAGCGAATGCCTTCTTCAGCCCACCCTTTGCCAGATCACTTCTTGTTCAGATGATTGACCCCTCAACTGCTGAAAACCCACAGTGGGCTCTCCCTCCATCTTTGTGCAGATACCTCCTGACCCTGCTCAGTCTCAGATACTGTATTTCATCCACCTTTCAGAGATACTCTCGCTTGAACACCAACATTGCAGTGACTCCTATTCTAGTGCCTTCCTCATTTTTTCCAGGTCCCAGTACCTCAATCTGGGCTACCACAATGTCCTGTTTTTGTTTTCATGCTTTGTCCATATCATTTTAAACTGAAATACTCTGAAAGAGAAGGTAGGAAAGGGCTCCATATACCTTTTATAGTCCACATGTCAAACTCTGTAAAGCAGAGATTTTGATTGGAATTGCATTGAGTCTATAAATTATTTGAGGAGACAAACATTTATAATACTGAATTTCTCCAAACTATTAACATTTTAATAGTTTATCCAAAAAAAGTTTAAATTTTTTTCACTACAGGTCTTACATATGATTTTTAGATATATTCCCAGTTTTCTGATTCTAAGTGTTATCTTTTTATAAATTTCATTTCCTCTTCATCATTTATAGTAATAAATTTTGTATATTGGTGCTATAGTTTGGATCTGGAATATCCCCCAAAGGCCCATGTGTTAAAAACTTCTTCCTTGGGTCGACTCTATTGGAAGGTAGAGGAAACCGCTAAGAGATGGTGCCTAGTGGGAGATTTTAGGTCACTGTGACTGCTCTTGAAGGGGATTGTGGTACTGGTTGCTTCCCAGCTGTCTTCACGTGAGCAGCTTGCTCCACCATGTGCTTTCTGCCATGATACACTGCCTGACCACAGACCCAAGGGCATTTTATGTAATTTAACATGGGGTAAACTTAGGGGGAAAAAATCCTTGATTCAGAATAAAATCAGTTCCTTCAGAAAGCTGGTTACAGTGCTCACTTTAGCAGCACAGATACTGAAACTGGAATGACACAGAAAAGATTAACATGGCCCCTGTGCTAGGGTAACATGCAAATTTATGAAGTGTTCCAAACAAAAGAAAATTTGTTTACACTATTTGATAAAATACTTCAAACCTTCTCTAATATCAGTGTGAATGTAAAGAAAATAGTTTCAGAATGCACAATAAATGAGTTTATCTGGTGATTTAGATAATAGGCACATGCATTTTATAAATGTGCACTCAGTGGTGTTAGGAAAAACGCCACTCTCAAAGAAAGCTCACGAGAAAAGTCTCATGTCCATAGAGCAAGGTTTAATGGCAGGCCCAAACTGCCAGGCTGGCCGGGGAAAAGATGGCGCAGCCTAGAGCCTGGGCGAGCAGTGGCTTTTATAGAAGGGGGAGGGTAAGGAGGTTAGGGCATGCGCAGTAGTTTCTGGAAGGGGTGGGGCTGTCTTAGAGCGTGGGAATTTGTTTAAGGGCCGGGCTGCCATTTT